AAACAAGAAGTAGTTTCCAAATTCTACTGCATTTATTTGAATTACTGGCCGACGATAGTAATAGAGAATTCGCAACAACTTAAATATATGCTGTAGTTATCAAAATGTCAGAAGTAGGGTAAGAATGTCGAGAGTTTTAGACATTAAGCTTTAAATCACTTGAGATTTGTTTTACTGGGTACACTTCTGTTCGTAGTTCTGAACATTTCTATAATGCAAGTCCACATTCATTTTTCAACCAATGTTCTTGGACCATCCATTTCTGTTGACAAATTTAGTATTCTAAATAATTCAAATAAATATACATATTGATTTATGAATATATAATACACTTCTGACCAACACTAATTAGTTAACCAGATGTTTGTCAGCCTTAAACTACTGGTTTCTGCATAGAGAAATAAATTCTTGCAAGCTACTCTCAGAACATTTGGCGTTTGCGTCACAAGTTGATTCACTCAAGAGAGGACCGCATTCTATCCTCAAAATAGAATCTGTAATCTTTTTTCACTTATCCTTGTACATCAGCATAGACCAAGATTGTATTCGTAGACGTAAAATTTATTAAAAATGACAGTGGCATATTAACCAAGCACTGTTAGGTTCTTATAAACTCATACACATATATAATTGACATTAGGATGGGATCAAGAAACAGTATCAAAGATAGGACGCTTTCACTTAGTAAACATGCATAAAATACATGCAATTCCAGGGAGATATGGCCAATTCTAATATAAATGAAATCGGAAAATTACAAGTAACTAGTGGGCCAAAGTTTTTGTGATTACATCGAAACAATTATTGGTAGTGAATTATGCTCAAAATGTCATTAAGTTAACAGTACATCTAGAAGAAGTAATCATCATAGACTGAAATCAGTTGGGGAACCATTTAAATCTGGGAGCATTGGACGGTTGTTTCGTCCTAGTATGCGACTCAGCAGTACGCACCCATGACCCGGCTAGGGATCGAACTCAGGACATTCAGGATTCATGGTGAATGCGTAGAACATTCAGCCACTGGGTTCGTTTCCAGTGGTTCACAATTTCCAAATTATGTCAATTCACGACATAGCGAGACTATCACCCAAGGTCTTCAATTAGCATCCACTTCAATTCCGACTGGTTGACCACAAAGGTCACGGATTCTCATTAAAGCTTCCTGATATCCATCTTCAAGCAAGTCATTAATGACTACTATACACTTGCGGTAATTGAAGAGGAATTGAAATGTTTCACAAAAGTGGAATAAACAATATTGGGTTAAATTTCTCTGGAAGCGTACAGCAAACGATCAAAGCGTTACCGCAATACGCAATAGAGGCAAAAGAAATAGGGATGACCAGTGTAACAAAGGCTGACGAATATATATATATATATATATATATATATACATATATATATATATATACATATATATATATGTACATATATATATATATATATGTATATATATGTACATATATATATATATATATATATATATATAATATGAAAGAGTACAAAAAATATGTTACTCGCAAAAGATAGACAAGACCAGGGATTACCGCATAATGTCTGCAGCAAGCTGCCATACCTCATTTCAACACACCAAGCAAGCAAGAATTCACAGATGAAATAAGAAAAAAAGATTGCAAACGTGAAAGAAAGTCGTGACGAGGTAGCAAGAAGGAATGAAAAAAATACTGAATTCAGTATGACAATTAAGATGAAGAAAAAATGCGCTTACAACTGTGCCACCGCAATCATTTCTGATTCATATTACCATCGACCAGTTTCTGTTGTCATGCGGACCCCAAACAGAAAGCATACATTTCCTCAGGTGGTTCAGACCAACAGTCAAAGCTTTCATATACTGATATATTATGTTTCAGCCCGGTCAACTGCGACACTTATTCAGCTTGAATCAACTTCAACGGACAACGTGCGATGAATGGGAAGATTAGGCTGGTGCATCACACGACACAACAACCTGAGATAAAGAACATTCATAGCATCATCAATTGACTTACTTCCAATTAAACTTCTAAACCTGACTTCAAAATTACTAACGTGGTGCAACCACGACACATTAGCTAGTCTACGCGATCAACGGTGATAGAGCACCTAGAGACTTCTGATGCTCTCTACCTTCAATGACCGTGTCCCACAACCGAATAGTAGAACAAAGCCAACTACAGCGCACTACACTCAACCCTTAGTAGACAATCGGTTATCACTAGTGTCATAAATAGTGTGAATTAGCGAGTCGAGCCTTTCAAACCCGTGCAGAGATTTCGTCGGCCACTGATCCACTAGGACTGGTCCCACTACGCAAGTAGACGAAGTGGTCAACGTATTCAGCCATTCAACTCATCACTGTTGAACAAAGTACCAACGCAGACCAGTCCTGGAGCAATAATTTGCATTAGATATTTGAGGATCGCATACCGAACATTATCAGATTGCTACTGAAGATTTTCAAAAGACTCAGCATCTTCACTTGACAGGATTACTGCATTTGCATACATTAGACCCACCAAGGATTTCCCTGTAATAAGATCTGTCGCCGTAAAGTGTGATTCCGAATACGTCTTTAATAAAGTTAAACTGGAACGAAGAGAGTAAATAACCTTGACGGGCACCACTCGAAATACACAACTCAGTTAATCACTTATAATAGTCAGACACGTGCACGGGAGTTGGTGTATAGAGCCTTCAACAATGTGGCGTACGTTTCCCGTGCACCCTTCAGTGAGAGATACTGCTATGAGTTCTGTCGACCGATGGAGTCAAATCCCACTTTCATCTCGAGAAATGTGGTTAGTGTCAGGTACTAATAGGTGTGCCTGTGTCCCAGTACCTGGTAGATGGTGAATATCTGGTCGATGTACCCACGACCAAGTCTGAAATCTGTCTAGTTTTCTGAAGTTAGTGATTTATGAGCTTCCCTTAGATGTCGAAGGATTAGGGAACCTAGAATCTTAGACACTATTTTCGTTAGGCTGATTCCACTGAGGTTGTCGAGAAAGGACTTCTCACCTTTTCTGATGACTTGGACGATTAGTGATTGAGACCATTGAGAAGTGGCCATATCTGACCGCCATTCATGAGCTAACATTTTATTTAAATTAACCAAATTTCGTCAACGATTATACTTAAGTAACTGTGGGACTAGTTCGTCTGGCGCTGCTGATCTGCCTCACTTCATATTGCTAAAGCTATTCCAACTTCTCTAAGTTTTGGGGGTCCTATTTCAATGATACATTCTGGATCCAACTGGATAGTGGGGAACGCAATGGTAGCTGAAGGCCAGTCTAACTATCCCTTGAAGTGTCTCACCGACCGTTCCAGTCATCTCCTCTGAGAGTGAATAGCCAGCGCATCCTTCTCCACTGTAGTCCCACTAACGATTCACGTTACCGACAAAGTCTCCTCAACAAGTCCAAATGATTATCTGCTGTGATATATCACCAAAGCCCTTTTTTTTTTGTGGATGTGTTCATGCGCATCCATTAAAGCAGAAACTGCTGAGATCTACTGCACCCTTTTTAACGACCTGCTGACAGTCGTGTAGGGTCTCCAACTAACAGGTGGTGTCAGAAATCTGGATGAGTGACATTGTTCAGTTGCGATACTTGTCTAACCAGTTTCCCGCTGAAGGTATTCGTAGAGTTCTCATTGTCGAGCTGCACTCTTAGTGGTCTTGTTGTTGAAGCTTTTCTAGATTTATTTACGTGTATACATATACGTGCTCGACCCAATGCATTTTTACTGTTCAAACACGCATTCCAGAAGGAGCAGTGGTCTTCCACCGCCCCTCTCCAGAGATAATTGATAGCAATATAGTCACTCTGTGTCCACCACAGAGTTGGCAACAGTAGACACCAGGTCAGACAATGTCTGATGTTCATGCTAGCCAGAAACAGGTGGCTGAGCACAGTTGTAGCAGGTGATTGACGATATCCGTTCGTTCGGCTAAGATTCAGAAAGTGTCACTTAAGTGCCTTCCTGCCTGATTTAGCCTGTAGACTTGTGCATTGAAATCACTTGCAACAACAACCAATTCTGAACGTTTGGCTTTCAGTAGAAAGCTAGACTGTTATCGGTAGAACTCATCCCTCATCTTATCCAAACTGCAGTCAGCTAGTGGACAGACAGAGATTACAAAAAGAAAACAGCGAGTTTCACTATTTCATTTAGTCCTCAATGCATTGTTCAGTGAAGTAGCGCATAGGTGACAGTCAAACAGGGATCCAGCAATGTATTTTCTCCCGAAACCAATATCGCCGCGACTGGTATGGCGTGGGGCAAAGGCGAGTGTGCTATTTTTAAGGCTCATCGGTCCTAATCCCCCTTTCCTAAGGGAAGGCAGAGTCAGCGTAGCACTCCTGGTTGCCCAATGGAAATCCCTTGTTGCTTTAACATCCTTCATACAATCACCAGTACGATTTCGCCCTCGGACCCTCATCATAGCGCAGAAATTTACGATAAAAGGGTAACTGCTTTTCGTCTTACCACTATCCGAATGACCTTTTTGGTGTGGTAGAACCTCATGGGAACAAGTGTTCTGCCAGTATAGGTCGTTGGGTTATTGTGATACACCAGCTTGCCCACCACGTCAAAGTAGCAGATACCGGTAGGGAATGATGACGAACAGATAAATGAAGAGCAATAAGATATTCAAAATTTTGGAGATAAAAAAAGGATGAATACATTTGAGTTAGTGTGGCCAATAGAGAGCCATATCAACATGATAGGTTATAAAGAGATAGGTGATATATATATATATATATATATATATATATATATATATATACATCATTAACAGTCTTCAACCAAGAACTCTTAAAAAACTAAGGACATCAGGCAGGTAGCTACAGCTGCTGAATGACTCCGGCTAGCAGTCACGGACTTAATGCATAGCTTTCTTCTTGTTTTGTTACTCTTCGATTTCTTTCAATCTCATCGTTCTATGGGTAAAACTGATCGTTAAGGGAGACTGCTTATAAAACACGGTTTTTTCAGTAAAGTTTTATTAATTTAAAAAATTACAATCGGCTTTAGTTCGGAGTTTCTTGACTTGGACTGCTTGCTGCAGAGGAATTATCAAGATTGTTATTTTCAAGTAGTAAATTATTTGGTTCTGATTTAGGTGATGGAACAGAAGAGATCAGTCGCTGAGTAGGTATATAAGTATAATGTGGTGTAGAACTCGGCGACTGAACTTTGCCGTGCAATCTCCATATGCCATATTCATCAGAAACATGCTTCTCGAATACTGCATATTCCAGCACGTCAACAGCAACATCCGGATTTCCGTAAAGCAAACGTCCGAAGCGATTATAGATTGCCAAGATCTAAAAGATGAATGGAAGAAAATATAGAGAAAGATAACTGAGAGCATTTAAAACTCTCTTGGCCAGAATAATGAGGGGATATATATTATCAAATACCAAAACCATAAACCATTATGCCAAAAAGTCCTCAAAAAAACTACCTTATTTTTTGTACAAGTGAGTCCTTTCCTTACTAAACGTATCCTGTAGGTTTTGAAGAACAAAAATGAACCTAAACCAGCTACGAAGTACTAACAGGTGGGTTAGAATACACAACAGGTGTATTGATTCTATGACCGGTTAACGATCGTAACCGATAAACTATCCTACCTTTAATCGTCACCTCGTAACAGTTATACGAGTCTCCTGGACAGCAGCTATTTCAGATAATCCCATCACCAACCAAAACGATGCTCCCTCTCTCTGATGAATCTTGAGTTACATTCAGTCAAGAGGATCTGACTGTGCAGCTAGTGTGATGACGATGAACGGAGTTATACATTACACAATGATACGGCAGCCGGGCGAAAGCCTCGGTGATCAAAGAAGAGTTACCGCGTGGTCAAAAGCCAAGTTTAGAAGCTCAACTGGTAGAGCACTGGATTGTAGATCCAAAGGTCACTGGTTTGAATCGTGATGGGACCTAAGCTTTTAATCCATCTTAAATCATCACCCCGCATAATTCAAAAATAAACGCATGTGAATGAATGACTAACTTAATTCGGGTTTTTCTGCTATGTGACGTTTTAGTTCGTATTCAGTTTATTCTAAACTTTTTCACACTAACGCACATGTAGACTGATCCCAACAAACACAGTACGATTTATGACTTCTGTCAAACGATGACAGTGGCAATACAGAATCTGTTACGATGAAAAAAACAGTTATTATCTCCATATTCTGAAAAAGCCTTGTCGACGAAAGCTCAACAAGAAAAGCAGTACGGCAAAATGAACAAGAAGAATAACGTGAAAGAATGTAATATACCTAAATGGAAAATAAAAAACGTTCAGAGAATACAACGTTGATTTCAGACAGTACGACGTAAAGTCCCTAGAAATCAATCTGTATTAACTTTATTGACTAGTCAGTTTAATCAAGATAGAAGGGATTTTCAACAGAATAAAATCAATTCGTGATTCTAAATACCGATAAAACTTCATAAGGAAAAGGTAAGCTTAGCAAGCGCTCTACCCAATTTCCACATGAACTGATTAGTAAATAAAAGAAAATATGAGTAAGTAAGACAGATGTATTATATGTGTTAGATGCTGAAGAATCAAAACGTAAACTGTCACAGCTGCAATCATCGGTGGAAAAATGGAAACCGAAATGAAAACAAGGGAAAAAAACTTAATTATATAATAGCCACCTGAATGGCGAGGTCGAAGTTCACATTATTTCCATATGCACAAACTAACGAGAGTCACATGTTAAAGGACCATAAAGCCAAGTGAGCAAATATTGCATCTGTTGACAGATTGCCCATATAAAAGTTAGCTAGAAAAACAATTAAGTTTTCAATAATCAACAAGACTTTTCCCAAACTTCGAATTTTTCCGATCCTTCTACATCAAAAGTGATTTCCTTCAGCAACATAGCAAGAAATACACACAAAACAATCTCATGAACATAGTGTCTAAGATTCTAGGTTCCCTAATCCTTCGACATCTAAGGGAAGCTCATAAATCACTAACTTCAGAAAACTAGACAGATTTCAGACTTGGTCGTGGGTACATCGACCAGATATTCACCATCTACCAGGTACTGGGACACAGGCACACCTATTAGTACCCGACACTAACCACATTTCTCGAGATGAAAGTGGGATTTGACTCCATCGGTCGACAGAACTCATAGCAGTATCTCTCACTGAAGGGTGCACGGGAAACGTACGCCACATTGTTGAAGGCTCTATACACCAACTCCCGTGCACGTGTCTGACTATTATAAGTGATTAACTGAGTTGTGTATTTCGAGTGGTGCCCGTCAAGGTTATTTACTCTCTTCGTTCCAGTTTAACTTTATTAAAGACGTATTCGGAATCACACTTTACGGCGACAGATCTTATTACAGGGAAATCCTTGGTGGGTCTAATGTATGCAAATGCAGTAATCCTGTCAAGTGAAGATGCTGAGTCTTTTGAAAATCTTCAGTAGCAATCTGATAATGTTCGGTATGCGATCCTCAAATATCTAATGCAAATTATTGCTCCAGGACTGGTCTGCGTTGGTACTTTGTTCAACAGTGATGAGTTGAATGGCTGAATACGTTGACCACTTCGTCTACTTGCGTAGTGGGACCAGTCCTAGTGGATCAGTGGCCGACGAAATCTCTGCACGGGTTTGAAAGGCTCGACTCGCTAATTCACACTATTTATGACACTAGTGATAACCGATTGTCTACTAAGGGTTGAGTGTAGTGCGCTGTAGTTGGCTTTGTTCTACTATTCGGTTGTGATAGGTCATGGAAAAATAAAAGGAGAAAAAGCGAAAGTATAGCACCTTAAGCCACACCACTTTCAGTAAGCAACGAGACAGAGAATATAATCCTAGCTACTCTATCGAGACTTAAAGCAATGTCATGATGAGAGACAATGGCAGCATCCAAAGTGCTTTTATGTGTTTATAAGCAAGTTGTTCTGCATCACTAAAAGTCTTCAGTGAAGGTTCATTGTATTCGAAAAAGGAGAAATAATGACAGTTGGTCTAAATTTTACAACTGATCCAGGAGATGAACTCTATATTGGTAAAATTCTAAGTGGGATAACTTTCATCTAGATGCGAAGATTCTCTGAATTAATTTTTGAAAACCACTAGTCATTTTGTTTGTTCTTATAACGAGTGTATTATTTCTACAGGTTAATCTCGGGAGTCTATGAGGTTCCCAATATGGTTACTGTTAGTTAATCGGCAGGGTTGCCTGCCGATCAATATATATATATATATATATATATATATATATATATATATTGATCAGTAGGCAACTCTGAGGATCGCTCTGAACCAACTAACATCCACCAAAGTGCACCACGATGGTGAGCTACCCACTTTGATGACCACATTGCAAAATGATCTATAGAATCCGGTCAGAGGTCAAGACAAGACCATATGAAATTGGTTACTCTGCAGTGATCAGTCAATGCACAGAGAATGAATAAGATTAGTGTTACTGCTTGTATTACACCGTCATTAATTGGACCGAATTGATCGGTCTCTATTGGCATATGGGCTCCAGTGCGAATGCCTCGGTATTGCCTGCGTTCTAATTATATTAATGATGGATCGTGGCTAGCAGCGGAATGCGCATCCATCATTAATAAGATTGTTGAAGTAAATCACAAGAAGTTGATTCGAGCTATTTCTGTGTGCTAAACTCATTACTAAGCAAGTATTCAATAAATTAATTCTTACCTGTTGGGTGTATAAACGAACTGTAACTTGAGCAAAGTAATTTCCTTTAGACATGAATTCTGTGCAGCGTATATGTACAACTCTGGGTAGTTCAATATTGCCCTTAAACCTCCATTGTAGTGTCCGTAGTTTCAAGTCTGCCGTCATATCCTGATAAATTCAAAAAGACTGTGAAAATAATTATTGATATTCTAATAATGATGCAATAGTGACAATGTAATAATAGTAGCATGACGATTGTGTGAACACTAAAATACACAAAGTAAAAGAAAAAAAATTGCACTTTATGCATTGATGGGACTTATCAAACGAGAAAAGCATCGTTGAAAACTTGCTTTGCACAATAATACTGCCAGCGCATCACTTTGTATTCATAATGATGGTGAAGCTGTAATGTAATTTCACACAACTGAGTGACCACATTTAGGGTGTGGTATTACAATTAGTGTATAAATCTTGGGATTCAAAACCGCGACCGATCGGTTGAAAATGGATTGCTTAAGCCAATAATCTACAGTTCCATATCAAAACTTTGCAAAAGATTGGTCTAAGTAATTTGAAAACACCCAATGAGTCATAACACAGAATTCAGCGGAGAGTTACTCTTTTCAACAACTCATTCTCAAGCTGTTTATATATATATATATAACTTGTCTATAATCATATCAAGGTAACTGCATAACTTTGAGCCGCTTTGATATCAATATGGACAATAAGTGGTATTCAAAGTGTAATCCAGTAAATAATACTGTTTCATTGTGCGATGGATCTACTAAATCAACTAAAATGAAATTGCATCCTAACACAGTGTGCCCAAAATTTTACTGTTATATAAACTTTAGAGTTATAAATAAATTAAATTAGAACATAAAAACATAGAATAGAACTTACCACCAGAGCTTTCTCAGTAACCAACTCAAACAATCGAGATTCATTTTGACGATGACTAAAATTTAATAGAAATGAGCAGGCAAATTAGGATAGGGAGGGCATTAACTCAAAGGTGATGCTTTTATGACTGGAAGACTTTTCTCAAGTAAAAGTGTACAACACACTGGAAAACCTATGCTTAATATCCATCTTTACAAAAAAACAAAATTAGCTACATCTGAGTCTTTTTTCCCGATAATAAACAATCACTTACAATGGCATTGACCACCACATATCCATCTGCTGTTTCACACAAAGAATATCGGATGAAACAGTAACTTTTGGATTTCATTTAGATAGTCATCATAAAACCATTGACGCATTGATTTCAAACAGCCCAATATATATGAGTTGATCTCTAAACCAGTGTACAATTTTTCAAAATCGAGAAGAGTAGTTTTTAACCATTAGCTACATGCCCGAAAAGATGGAAATATGTTGCCATTTTCATCCTTTTTTCTGGACATGTTAATGAAATAACAGACTGCAAACAGGCCGACATCCAGTACCAAGTTAACGCTACATTTTTCAGACTTCAGCAGGATTATATATGACGTATTCGTGAAGCCTATCATACATAGCTACCTACTATGCCTATTAATTACAGTTTAAGTCTTCCACACAAAGTTTAATCGTATGACAACCGTGAGGCAAAAGTCCTCTCTTGTCTTCACTAAGAACTAAAAAGAGAGGGATTAAGGAAGAAAGCGATAAAATAGTTCTATATAGTTCTAACTGGCTGCTATCAATAGCTTGATATCTGAGTTTTATACCATATCATTATAATTATAAATGAATGAATACCGTTTCACCGATATGACAGTACAACTTGAATGCAGTGAAACGGTGTGACTTAGGTATAGAGTTGTAGTTCATTGCATTATGTACTATACTTTCAATCAGCAAGTTGCAAGTTCAAGCCCAGTTCCACCTGCCAAGGTGTCTGGGTAACCAGTTAGTATTACAAACCGTGAATAGCAGGTGGGGTTTATCGTCTAACACACAAATCGACAGGAGGTGAAATTGACACAATAAAACGAGTAAAAACAAATAAAGAAGAGCAATTTAGAACAATGTTTCTTCATGAGGCATATCCAGTAAATAACTCAGCCGAGAAAAGGCTGTTTATCGTCAGATGAACATTCAGACTGGACACTTATTATTTGTCCCTTGGGTTCCTAGTGGAATAAAGAGCTTCAGTAACACGTATCCACTTCACTCTGTTCTCTCAAGTATTCTCAACATGGCTCCACGACTACCCAGAAGCTTTCATTTCTTCCTCACATGATCTCCTACATGTCATCCTTACAACGAACGTCCGACTAGTCGTTTCCACTTTGAATTCCACTCGAGGGTCTGGCCTGGTGCGTGATGTCCCAAATGGTCTTCTCAGTGTATACCCAATCCACTTCGACTTTCTTCTGTATAATTGTTGGGCGAAGGGTTCTTGGTTGGTTCGTTGCAGGCAGGCAGGCAGGCAGGCAGCCAGAGTTCCTTGTTGCTTATTCTTATTATCATGGCCATCTGATCTCATCTTCAGTATCGAGTGAGCGTAGGCGGCAGCTGTTGATGTATGTGTGCGTGTGTGTGTTGGAGTGTTGTGTTTGTTGGAGATGCTTTTCGTGACGCGCCAAGTCTCTGAAACATCATATTGAAGCACTGACTTGACTGACATTAGTGTTGAAAATCCGGATGTTGTTCATGCTTTATGTTGAGTGGAGTGCAGTGGAGTAGATCTCCACACTGATTTCATATTAATGAAGGAAGGCATATCTTGGTGTCCTTCGGATGCTGCTTTGACATCCTCATCTGTGCCAGTATAGTGTGTAGTTGAAGTGATGCTGCCTATGTAGGTGGTTGAAAGAGACAGCTTCCTTTGGTTTTCTCCCATTGATGGTGATTGATGTTTTTTGTTGTTGGTTGGGTATGTTCATCACCTCTGTTTTCTCTACATTCACCTGAAGTTCCGTCTTCGCTGCCCTGTCTTTTAAGCCTACTTGTTAGTTTTTGCCTGTAGATCTTCGAGTTTGTGCGACATTAAACATAAATCATCATCGGCGAAATTCAAATCTTCCAGTCTTTTCATTAGCCAAACAGTGTATGCCCCTCTTCTCGCTCCTCACTGTTTGCTGCACGATCCAGTCGACCACAATTAGGAAGATCATCGGTGACAGTAGGCGGCAACTTTGTCTTACTCCTGTCTTTACTTCAAAGGAGTCACTGAGCTTTCCATTTTGAATCACTTAGCATGTGGCGTCTTCATATAGCTGTTGAATGAGGTTGATAAGGGTTTGTGGCACTCCGTAGTCTTGAAACAGCTTCTCAGTCGACATTGTCGAAGGCCTTTAAAAAATTGATGAAGTTGAGGTAGAGTTGACTGGCATTTGATGCTCTGCTCTATGATGATGCGTGGGGTTGCGATTTTGCCCGCACATGATCTGTACTTCCTGAATCCAGCCTGTTCCGGTCGTAGTTTTGAATCTAGAGCGTTTTTCAGCTTCTCCAAGATGATGTGGCTTAATATTTTGTTTTAGGTGGACAGCGGCATGATTCCACGCAAGTTCTTGCAAAAAATTAGGTCGCCCTTCTTTGAGAGTTTGACTGAGTAGCCCTTCTTCCAATCAATGGGCAGGTCTCTTTCCTTCCTTCCCTCCTTCCAAAGATTCTGAAGTAGTGGTGTGAGTATGTCCGCTGTTGTCTCTGCGTCTGTTTTCAGTGCTTCTGGCGAAATCCCATCTGGTCCTGCTGCCTTCCCGGATTTCAGCAGCTTTATGGCGTTCAGGACTTCACCACTACTTTTGTCGGAGGGCTTGTGTTCACTTGTAATTGTGTGGCTGGACGAGTTGAAGGTGGTGGTGGTCGATTCAAGGGTTTTTGAAGTCGTCAGCCCTTCGTGTCCTTCGTTTCTCCTCTTTGGTGGTGATTAAGTTTCCTTCATTATATTTCATTGGTTTCATCCACGTTGGTCCCCCTCCCAGATAGTAGGCTGGTTATTTGATATAATGTTGTCAGGTCTCTATCTCTTCTACCTGCAATCTGTTCTGATTCACTTGCAAGTGTGTCGTAGAATTGTCTTTTGCCTTTGCGCACACTCTTCACTTCTTTTTCGAGTGTAGTGTTCTATGGGTTGTGTTTAGTTCCTCGTTTCGTTGTTCATCTCTGCACTGCACTGGTTCATCTGCCGCACCATCTTCCTCTCCCTCCTCTATCAGCTTCCATGTATCCATTGAGATCCATTCCTTATCTTCTTTCTTCTTCCTTCCTAATACGGTTATGCAGGTTCTTTCCATATAGCTTTCAAAGAGTTCCAGCGTTCTTCCACGGAGGTTTCTTTAGGGATGTTGCTTAATGTCTCCCAGTTTTTTCCTGATGACCAACGTGGAGATGTGCTGCGTAGTTTAGTCCTTCTGTTTCTGTTGTGGGTGTTGAACTTGAACTGTGGGCTATCATCACCAGCTTGTTTGAATGCATTCAACTTGATTTTCAAGGTACGTTCCTTACACTGAATAGCGAGTTGTTTGAACCCACATCTGCTCCTTTTCGTTATCTGAACTTGTGTCCAGTAGGCTGCGTTTCTACTTTCTTCACATTGAGATGAAGTCGATCTGATTTTTAGTGTAATGTGTCCATCTGGTGAATGGTGAAATCGAATCCACATCGCTGCTTTGTGAGTATACTTATGTTTGTACACACTGCCTCTAATCACGAAATCATTAAAGGTGCAGAAGTCTGCAAAACGTTCTCCGTTCTCATTCATCATTTCACCGAGTGCTTCTCGACACATGATAAGTTCTTTTCCTGTATTGTCCACTCCCAGTTTGGCATTCATGTCACCCCACCCATTAGAATTTTGATGTCACCAGTACTGAGTGCAGTTGTCTGTACAATTCCTCCATCTTCTCTTGTTCTGCGTGTGCATTATTTGTAGGTGCATAGCGTAGCGTAGCATTATATGATTGTGAATTTGTTTCCTCTTGAGTTGAATCTTGCTGTCATGATCCTGATCTTGCAGGAGGAGATTTGTTCCCACTGCATGAGAGAGAGCCTTCGATGATGTTGGGGACATCATGATAACCACTCCAAAACTCAGTGTGCTCGTTCATGGTTGTCGTGTAGGTGACAATATCGGAGTAGATTATTGACTCTCCAGTTGAAAGTTTGGAGAGTCCACTTCCATTCCATCTGCTTTCGCAGATTCCTAGTACTTCTATGCTATATCTTCTCATCTCTCTGGCAATCTGGGCAGCCTTGCCAGCTAGCCAGCCAGCTTAAAGCATTGTTCTTAAATTCCATGTCCCCATTCTTACTCTCGCTTTCATCGAGAGAAGAGATGATACATCGGTCAACTGGTTTCCCGAAGTCTTTCATCAACCGGCGTCATTTCATCTCCCCGATCCCGGCGAGGAATAAGTTTATTTTCATTTTTCATACTTTTATCTTTGTGCTTCGAAGTTTCTTTGGCGATTGGATTGGTTTTACGGATAGGGTTGCTAGCCCTATGCCCAACCTTCCTTTTTTATCGGGGCTTAGGACCCGCTAGTAGCTAGTGAACTAGTTACTTAGGCGAGTTTAGACTGGACACTAAATCAGCAAAATTATTCACACACTGCACAGTTCATGATAACATCTGTCACAACTGAGAGATTTTTCAATCATCCGGATATGGTGTCAGTAGGGCTCCCATCGAAAGCCACTCATCTAAAATCACAAAATGTGATTTCTGACACAAGTGTCACTAACTAACAAAATATATTACTGAAAAATCTGAGTAAGATATTTCCAAATGCAGACGCTCACTTTTGTAAAAGATCATGGGCTTCAACATAGATACTTTCAGCTTTAGCTGCAAATAGTTTCGGTTTGAATGAAGGCTCATATGATCGTATTAACATTGTATCTTTATAGTTTCTACCTTTATCAAGTAATCCATCCTTTAGCTGTGTGAATTTCTAAAAAGAAACAGTGTATATTCGACAGAAAACGTAGTACAATCAAAACTACCTTTGATGAGAGTAATGATTTTCGACCGTCACCATCAGGAGGAGTGTATGGATCGAGAATACTGCCTGGAAACAAAAATGTTGTCATGAAAAATAAATGTAGTTATCAAACTAATAAGAAAAGTTTCAGACTGAAAAAAGATACCTTTAGATTGAATGACGTATATGAGGTACATATCCTACAAGTTCATAAGTTACGAATAATAAAATTCTCTCAACGAGACGATCTGCGGTAGCCTTAGTTAGGTGGACTATTACTTTTGATACAGGATGATGATTGGAAGTGAAGTAAAAGCTTGAGTAGCAGCAGGATTCCTACCCAGGATTCACAGATGACTGTCCATTTATTCTTTAAACTAACAATGATACATATTGCATACCAACTGATCAATGTACACACAACGCACACTATCGTGAAAAATTGCAGTCTAACCACGACATCGTATAGAAATGAAGTATACAGACATACTACGCAATAAAGCTACCTTTTAAATTTGCTGTTACTGTGCTTACCGAAAAGTATTACAAAAACCATTTATATGACTGCAAACCACATGCTACTATGCTACAAAACAAAGACCTATAATGTATTCTTAAGAAAAATGAATGAAGAGGCACAAAAAAAGGTTGATAACAACCAGCCATGAGAAAATGATTTACCTGTATGTCCAATATTTATTGGACGGTCATGAAACAGAAGAGGAGGAAGCATTCCGTTTCTGCGCAGTCGTCTCTGGAAATCTGATGAACTTTCATCTGGAGAAACTTTATCCTCGTTAAGATCCACTGGTGAGTCCCATGGTTGCATCTGGCGGATGATTCTGAATTTAGGCACCCACGGCTTATGCCGTATAAATCTGACATTATTTCGAAGCTCAAATAAATATTTCTGGCTGAAAATAGTGATTTTCCTTAACCTTTAAGAGATAAATATACTATAAAAGGATGCACTTACCACATGATGTTTCACCAATCACTAGGAATAAATAAAAGCTGTAAGTACAATTTTTTTAAAATGAACTTTATAGCAACGTCTAGATTTATGCAACAAATTTTACTCAAACAACTAAGTAACATAAAAAGTTACTCGTCTGCTTGAGTTAAAATAAAACGAGTAAGATTTTATTGTGTGAACCAATGGCTGGATGTAGAACTTCTAGACCACTGGGTAGAAATCCTATAGTATAAAAGTGGGTAAGATAAACCTGAAATAAGAGTCTTACCAATACAATAAAATCTGAAGGAAGAGACTAGGTTTTTAAACTGATGAATTCGCAGGAAAAAGATCAACTTCATGAAACTACGCAAATGTTCAATGATTGTACAGAACTTAAACGCGCCCGTACCTAGTTCAAAAACAGGAACTGTTAAGGAGGCAAACACTGACCACTAAATCCATTTTGAAAGCTGTATCTGTCCTTATGAAGAAGGCACCGACGAGGTCATACAAAGAACGTAAAAGACTTGTAAGACATTTGACAAAAAACACCACCTATGTTAGCGAGACATTCCATTGTTAACTAAATAGCGAGTATGGTCAACTTCAGCCAGTTACCTAACAGTAATGCTGGGGACATGGTGAATGAGGGTGAATAACATGAAAGGTTTTCGACGGTATCTTCGTAGTAGTGTTCACACTCATTGGTGAGGTCAGGTATATAATAAAAGACAAGATAGGTAATTATTAGAAATATAAGTATTTCCCGGGAAACCGATAGCGTGACAATTAATATTGTTTTTAATCCAAATGAATTTACTTATCTACGATTATCTCTATTCAAACCACACTTTTACTAGAAGAAAATCAGTTTAACAATGATCACGTCACTTAATTCAACTCAATGATTACTTTTGCCAAAAACAAAATAACAAATTGACATAATCCGAAGCTGTCGCATCAATATATCCTCAAATCATAAAAGTAAGTCCAAACAGATGGTTGTGACATATCATGTGTGGAGCTTTGGCTAATTGGTTGAGGTACTTGACTTTTAACCAGTGGATCACAAGTTTGAATCTCACCCTACACCTACCGAGGTCCGGGCAGCCAGGTAGTATCAATGGCCCTGACACAATAGGCCTAGTTCATTTCCCACTGAACGAACCTGTACACGGTTGCTGAGTGCATTTCAACATTCGACTTCATTTGTTAGGGAAGTTAAGCTGCTATCTATCCTGTGTACAATATGCATTAGAAAAGGATTGCTTGCAGAACAAGAGCGAAGACATGGATGGTGTGGAACCCATCTATTAAGTGTTGGCTTGATGTGCGGAGAAGTATTTGTTAGCTGTTTGGGGTTGTCGATATATTCGGAATCAATTTGGAGATCGGCCAAATGGCTATAACCTAATACAATGGCGCAGTCAGTCAAAATCAACGCTGGACCTATAACGGTCCCAGTTGCCACACTTCATATCGGCACATCAAGGGAGAATCCATCGATATAAGGAAGAAAACACTCAAAAGTGGTCGAAAGTCGTGATGAGATAACAAGGATGAATGAGAAAATACTGAATTCAGCATGCCGGTTAAGATGAGAACAACGTGAGTTACAACTAAGCCACTGCAATCAATTCCAACTCATATCACTAAGAGTCACCAACCACCAGTTTCTGTTGTCACGTGGACCCTGCACGGAAGGCACAGACTATCCTACACGATTCAGACTTATGCTGTGTTTTAGGCTGGCCAACTATGACATTTATTCAGCTTGAACCAACTTCAGCTAACAGTGTGCATCGAAACAGACAGTGATTGGGCAGGCGCAAGACATGTCCTAACCACCTAAGCTAATGAGGATTCAAAGCATCATCTGCCTAAAAATCTACACCTGACTCCTACATAACTAACGTGGTGACACCGCCACACACTACCTAGTCGTCTAAGAAAGCAGAGGTAATATAACAACTAAAGCCTTCTGATCTCCACCTTCAGTGACCATGTCCCACAGCCATATAGACAGTCGGATATCACGAAGACACCACAAATGACGTAGGTCGGTGAAGGTTAATCAAGCCTTTTGGACCCGTGGAGATATTTCGTCGCTCATTAACTCATAATGACCAATCCTGTGGTCAAAATCCTGCAGTTTCTTCACGTCTTTTACTTTCAGCGGCCATTTCTCACAGCCACACAACGGGAAAGAATGGACCACAGCGCAGTATATTTATCGCTTATTAGGTAGTCCAGTATCTCGATAGTCAGCGTCAGAGATGGTGCAAGCTGGCAAATGATGAATGAGCCCTCTGTAACCGAGCTGGGATTTCGTCAACAACCAACCCATTTGAACTGATGCAACTCCACAATTAGGTGGGGTGATCGTTGTACACCACCACTTCATTCCTCAACCTTAGACTGAGATTAGTTCCATACCAGCCCTGAAGTGTCATCTTACATTTTAAAGGGATGAAACGCATTCCAAACATACTCAGATTTCTGCTCAACGCGTTCAAAAGACCCTGCACTTTTTTAGTGTCTCCACTTACAAGGACAATATCGTTTACGTGCTCCAAGTCAACCACGTACCCTTCGGGGAGTAGACCAATCTCTATGAAGTCAAACGTACCTGAGGTTATGTTCATTATTGCATTTACAATGAAGTTGAACGGGAACCGTGACAGCAGGCACCTCCTGCCAGACACCAATTATTGTCGCCAGTTCAGATGACAGCCTAATCCAAGCTCTTTCGTACGACTGTGCGCGTTTGAATGGAGGACTTTGACTAGCCTTGCGTACTTGCTCAGTACTCTTTTTATAGTTAAACACTGTCATGGCACGTCACAGCCAACAGAGTAGAATTTCGCCTTCAGGTTATGTTCTACTTTGATTTTATATGTATGTCTATGGGTACAGATTAGACGATGTTATGGGGCGCGACAATAATCCTTAGATTCCTCAAAGCCCGGAATTCCCTGGAAAGCCTTCACGGTCACTCATGATACACCGAACGCTTGTGAAAAACCACATGACCGCAGATGTCTCAGACTGCTTAACGGAAGTTCTAAAGAAGTGTAGAACACAAAATGACTATCAAAAATGCATACATTTCAATACACATCGTATATTTTTGACGTGACAATAAGGCTTTCACCGCATTTACATCATACTTCATGTTTTGAGGAAGCAAGAGAACCCCAGGAGTGAAGACTAAGGTCATCGTTCAACACTTCACCTACATCTATATATATATATATATATATATATATATATATATATATATATATATATATATATATATATATATATATATGCATAACACAAGGACACATCATATATCAAAAGTATGAAAGGTTGGTAGTGATGTAAAGTAACTTGAGCGCTGACAGAGTTTTAAGGCGGTTGATACTTATCGAATGCCCGCACCACGGAAGGTTATTCCTTCTTCAGGTTCCTGAGAAAGAAATTGGATCAGCAATAGTGGTGCGTAATCGCAGAGCGCAAGGGACATCTGCTTGAGGCCGGTAACACGCAGCTTTTTTGGAATTCGGAGATTTCAGTTTGTCGACTGTGGATGCTGCTAAAAACTTATACCCCCGACGACGGGAGACCGTAGGGCAGGGGATACACCACCTTTTACATTTCGGTACGGGCCCACCATTCCACAGGGAGGACAACATTTGCATGGGACTGCTGGTCATCCACGAAACACCCCACTGCTGCCACATCCCTATCCAGCCATCAGTACGAATTCGCCCTCGGATCCATACCACAGAGTAACTATTTACGCTATAACCGTAACTGCTTCCTGTTTCACCACTATTCGACTGATGTCTCTGGTGTGGTACGAGCTCATAGGGACAAGTACGTCACCAATACAGCCCGTTGAGTCATTCTGATATGTGAAACCTACGACTACGTCAAAGTAGCAGCTATTGGCCAGATAAGTATTATGCTTTCAGCGGTCACATCTTACAGACGTACGACAGGATTACTATGCAATATTCACATCTGTAGGCATATGGTTGGATACCTCGCCAGTGTCAGAAGTGGCGTAGTCAACAAATGTGGAACATACACTCCCATCTAAGCTAATCTATCGTCAGCAACCAGCCCGGTGTAACTTGTTCAGCGTATGAAGTGGCCACTGCATCTTCTCACTTTATCCTCGATCTTCAAACTAAAAGTCGTCGCAGACCAGTCTTGAAGCATCATCGAATATGAAACAAGCGCAAAACGCATTTTGAGATTTTTGCGGAAAACATTTGGTCAGCATCTTCATCTAGTGGAAATTTCGTCTGCACATTTGATGTCAGTCGGATGCTTTTCCAGAAATCACCTTCACCATGTCTTGCACATGCGACTTCACACCGTTACATTGATTTGAAGTCAATTTCATCACGTAGGGATACTAATAAAACGCGTGATCTTAACACCTTGGGCGAAAATCTGACTACATTTGGTATGATTTACACTTGGTGTGTAAGAGATCATGTTCGGATACTGATTCGGAACAACTCATCAGTCTTGATATTGTGGGTGAAGCAGCAGAGTGTATTGACCTCTCCACTTATTTAGAAAATTGTATATCTTGGTCGACTGGTTGCCAACGCGGTTCCAGTACGCACGGCTTGCTTGACATTTGTCAAATCATATTATCTGTGGCGCAGGTGAGATATCTGCATACCAGCCACAGAATGAGTATGCTGTATAACATTCCATTTGGCCCCATTGAGAAAATCAGTGAAAATAGAAGTAATGCCGTCCACACTTACTGACTTCAGCTGAACCGAAGAACAGGAAGCATTAGATTAGTATTCCTTAATGAGCTTTAATCCCTTCTGTAGGTTGTCGAAAATCAAACCATTCGGTGGCTTGAGATGCAGTGAGATATTGTTCGAGTGCGCAACTAGTGGCGATTATGAAGTTTTCTGGCCCTTCAGAATTGAACACAAAAGCAGTAAAAATTTTCGAATGCATTTACTGAAATCTTCCCCACATTTTAAATCGTTATTACCCCAATACCTCATGTTGCTTTA